CACACACGCACCGACAACCTCTCAACATGTATTTTTGCATTTGCATAAACGTATAAAAATGCATAAAAACATAAGAGGAACTTACTACGATGGAATCATGACAGTGTGCACCCCTCCAAATAGCTTGATTAAGCCCAGAGCTGACTGAAAACGCTGGGACTCATTTCCTGTTCACGTCCGGAATCGCTACTTGCTTTTTGAACTTCAGTTTCGAGCAACACCTTGAAGATGATTCATGCCTTCGAAATCTCGAAGGTCTGTTTAGCATAATCGCGTGTAATAAATCTCATCCTAATTTAGCCTAGCCCAACACCTTCCAGGGGTATTTCGATCCATTGACATACCCGGTACCTAGATTAAAATAAACGGACTTTTTCTTTAGCATAAACCACTTACAAATTTTGTAAACGTACAATTTTCATTTAACAGTCGTTGTTTAAAAGTAACCTGGTTGTTCAGTGAGAAATTTTTCCGCCAAGACTTTTAAGTGTCTGTACTTGAGAACCACGCATACCTCAAGCTGAATCTGAAATACTTAAGTTGTACTTGGACAGGGAACATTCCTCCAAAATTTCAGCTTTCCAGGTTACTGAGTTAGCAATTTTCCTGCCAAACATTCAAATATCCGTAATTGGGTATTCCACGTTTCTGGAAAGCTGGATTTGAAATTTTTAATTGCACATGGACAGGGAATATCCCCTTAAAATTTCAGCCTTCCAGCTCTTCTAATTGCCGAGTTAGTAATTTTGCTGCAGAAACTTTTATATGCCCTTACGTCAGTACTATGCATACCCGAGGGTCGAATTTGAAATACTTGAGTTGTACTTGGATAGGGAACAAAATTTTAGCTTTTTAGCTTTCCCGGTACCCGAGTTAGCAGTTTTCCCCCTAAAACTTCCATACGCTCTTACTTGAGTACCACGCATACCTGGGGACTGAGTTTGGAATTTTTAGCTAGTACATGCACAGAGAATATCCCTACAAAGTTTCAGCCCCTTAGCTCATGTGGTTCCCGAGATCGCTTTCCCGCCAAAAAACATTTTTTTAAAACGTCCGTACTCGGCACCCAGGCGTCCAAGGGGGATGAAATTAAAACGGGAGGGTCCCGCATGGTATAGTAATGCGCCCGTACGCGGCACCAAGGCCGCCGAGGGGGATGAAATTAAAACGGGAGGGTCGCGCATGGTATGGGCACATACTCTCAAAGTTTCAGCCTCCTAGCTTTTCCGGTTCTCGAGTTGAAAGTGAGTGACATAAAGTGCGGACACACAGACACACACACACAGCCTCTTCCCAATATGCGTTTTTGCAATTTACATACATGCGAAAAGCATAAAAAGTGGTTGTGCGCAGTACACCAAGAATCCCCACCTCCTCCCTCCCCCCTCCCCCCATTAACTGCAAGTGTGAAATTTTGTGCATAATTCAATAAAAAAAAAAGCAAAATTCGGCCAGAAACTTTGCGTCCACTTAATCAGCCTGTCTTTATTGTACATGGGGTTCGAAGATTAGCGTCCTAGAATCTAATGAACACTTAGTTTCGTGAGAGAGTACTGTCTGCATCACTGGTCAGCACTGTTAGCCGAGAATCCACTTGCTGTCACGTTCTCGACTAGTTTCAGCCTCAGTGACAGGAAAGGAAAAGAGAGTTGGGGGAACGGAAGGGAGAGTGGAGGGGGGATAGGTGCGGTGGGGAGGTGGTAGAGGGAGTGGGGAGGGTATGGAAGTGGGGATGGGCTGGGCGGATGATGGCTGGGAAGGGTCGAAGGTTGGGGATTCGGAGATGCATACAAACGTCGTGCACACATAATGCACAAGTGGGATGCGTACCCGTTTTATGCGTTTTGTGCGTACTTTTATCCGATCCACGTACTTCGATTTGAGGAACACACATTTCACGTCTTGAGGAACATTTTACGTTTTCACGTTTTGAGGAACACACATTTTGACAATGTACATCTGGGCAACACTACATTTCAATAGTACATTAAGTACACTACGTTTTAAGAAAAAGTTGTCAGACATTGCTTCGAAGCAGTGTTACGTTTCGAGAAAATATTAACAAAGATGCGTTGTTGGTGGAGAATTGTAGGAAAAAAAAAAAAAAAAAACCAGACTGGAACGCACTAGGTGGGCCGGTGCGATTATGCGTTTTTGCAATTTTCGTGGCGCAGCAAGATCGCATGGAATCAAAGCAGCTAACCCTGTGAAATACTGGCTCTCGAAGTTTGGGAATTGTGCAACTATGTGGTATGTCAGTTGTAGGTGTCGACTTCAATGACCCGACAAATGGAAGGTTGCTGGTCCGCAAAAAAAGGCTACACTAGAAGGGTTAAGTTTAAAATCTTTTAGTCGTACATGAGCATGAAACATTCCCTTAAAATTAAAACGTTCAGCTTTTCCCGTTCCTGAGTTAGTAGTTTTCCCATCAAAATTTTCACGTGTCCGTACGTGAATACTGAACGGTTTTAAGAAGCTGTATTTAAAACCTTTTGTTTATACACGAGTAGGGAAGATTACCCTAAAATTTTAGCTTTCTGACTTTTCCCGCTCCTGGGTTAGCAATTTTCGTGCCAAAATTTTCACGCGCTCGTATGTGGGCTCGGGTGCTTCTAAACATCTGATTTTGCTCGCACATGAGTAGGGAACATTCCCTTGTTTCAGCTTTTTAGCTTTTCCCGTTCTCAGGTCAGTGATTTTTGCGCCAAAATTTTCATGTGCCCGTATGCAAGCCCCTGGCGGTCCTATGGAGCTGAGTTTGAAAACTTCTGGTCATGTATGAGTGTCGAACATTCCCCCAAAGTTTCAACTTTCTAGCTTTTCTCATTCTCAGGTCACGAATTTTCGCGCCATAATTTTCACGTGCCCGTACGTAAGCCCCAGGCACCCCCGGGCAGCTGAATTTGAAATCTTTTTGTCATACAAGGGTAGGGAACATTTTCCCAAAGTTTCAGCTTTCTAGCTTTTCTTGTTCCCGAGTTAGCGATTTTCGCGCCAAAACTTTCACGTGTTCGTACGTGGGGCCCAGAAGTGCGTGAGATTTGGAAGCGTGGTACTAGGGTAGTACCTAGCTGGGGGTAACATAGTGGCAAAATTTCAGCTTCAAAGCTTGCGTGGTTAGCGAGTTCAAATCCGAACATATAAACACGCACACACGCACACACACACACACCCACATACACACACACACTGACAGGGCGGTTGCAATATGCGTTTTTGCTGCCTTTTGCAGCGCTCTATTGGATGAAAACGCATAAAAATTGGATGAAACAAATTTTCACTTTCAGTGCAAACTCTCACATTTTTTTTTCAAGAAATTGGAAGTTAATAAAACAAAGAGTTCCTCTTCGACGCTTTAACAATGTTAAAGAAATAAACAGCAGCAGAGGCTTCATATCCTGACAGTATTCTTCATAAAAGAAAGTTAAGCTGCCTCTTTCATTAAATGCAAAGAGAAACATCAAACCTACTTCCAACTGTTAAGGAGTTTTTAAAAAAACGAGGGATTGATGCAAACTAATGAAATTTGTTAATAAATAAATTAGTATATACATACATATATATGTATTAATTACAACAACATTAACTATTCAGAAATGCTGAAGATGTTCAACTATTCATCAGATACAAAACAGCGCATTAAAAAATTCTTGCGTAGCATTGAGAACGAAAATCAACTAATTTTCGTTAACTGTACTCTCTTACTATGACATCCACAGCCTCAGGCTGCTCTCATCAGAAGTTGTGAAAGCTCGGTTAGCACACGCGGCAATGTGAAGAGCAAGGACAGTATGCGTAAACCTAGTCTCGGTAAATAAAAATATGGGCCCGGAGCCGAGAAATTCCGCATGAATGATGCCGGCCCAGAAGCACAAGAGGCGCTATAATCTGGAAATGCTGATAGAAGCAAGTGTATTCACTCAAACAGCATAATGCTCCGGGTTATGATGTTGCCTTTATTTAATATAAAAATAGTCTGCTATTAATTTACAGCAACCGGTCCTCCAAACAATGCGGAAAAACATTGCTTACTGAATTTTGGAAGACTCGCATCAAAGCACTAGAAGCAGCAATAGCTTTCGGTGGGAAGCTGTCGCAGAAATATGACTGTCCAAGACAACAGCGTACCATCTGGATACCCCAAATTTTCAACTGTTTTCCAGCAGTGGATCAAAGCTCTTGCGTATGCCCCCTCCCCCTACTCACATCAAGTTGAAATTTAAAATGGATTTTAAAAAAGTATTAGCAGCAGTTGTTTGTTGTAAATCTAAAAAGAAACACTTTCTATCCTTTCCTGAACCGTTTCAATAATCTATACGCATCATCACAACGAGACCTGACGAAAAGAAAGTTCGGGTAAGTCCAAATATATTGATCCTGTCTAATTAACTCCACGTTAACCAGCTGAAAAAATCAAAGCAAGAAATCAGGATAAAAAAGGACACAGCTGGGAGTAAGAGAGTTTTA